TAGAGGATCAAGATCAAAAAAACTCAAAACCTAGCAGAAGACAAGGGACATGGATGAATCTGGAGAACATCATTCTCAGCAAACTGACACAAGAACAGAAAATGAAATACCGCATATTCTCACTCGTAGGCAGGTGATGAAAAATGAGAACATATGGACACAGCGAGGGGAGTACTAAACACTGGGGTCTATTGGGGGAAAGGGGAGGGCCAGCGGCGGGGGGAGCTAGGGAGGGATAGCCAGGGGAGAAATGCCAAATGTGGGTGAAGGGGAGAAAGGAAGCAAAACACACTACCATGTGTGTACCTATGCAACTGTCTTGCATGTTCTGCACATGTACCCCAAAACCTAAAATGCAATAAAAAGTTTTTTTTAAAAAGTGGGCTAAAGGATGTGAACAGACACTTTACAAAAGAAGACATACATGAGGCCAACAAACATGAAAAAATGCTCATCATCACTGGTCATTAGTGAAAAACAAATCAAAACTACATTGAGATACCATCTCTCACCAGCTAGAATGCGGATCATTAAAAAATCTGGAGACAACAGATGCTGGAGAGAATGCGGAGAAATAGGAACACTTCTACACTGTTGGTGGGAGTGTAAATTAGTTCAACCATTGCGCAAGACAGTGTGGAAATTCCTCAAGGACCTAGAAATAGAAATTCCATTTGACTCAGCAATCACATTATTGGGTATATATCCAAAGGACTATAAATCATTCTACTATAAGGACATATGCTCACCAATGTTCATTGCAGCACTGTTTACAGTAGCAAAGACCTGGAACCAACCCAAATGCCCATTGATGATAGAGTGGACAGGGAAAATGTGGCATATATACACCATGGAATACTACACAGCCATCAAAATCAATGAGTTTGTGTCCTTTGTAAGGACATGGATGAACCTGGAAACCATCATTCTCAGCAAACTGACACAAGAACAGAAAATCAAACACCGCATGTTCTCACTCATAGGTGGTTATTGAACAATGAGCACACAGGAAAACAAGGAGGGAGCCTCACACACTGGGGTCTGTTGGGGGGAAATAGGGGAGGGACAGCAGAGGTGGGGAGTTGGGGAGGGATAGCAGGGGGAGAAATGCCAGATATAGGTGAAGGGGAGGAAGGCAGCAAATAACACTACCATGTTTGTACCTATGCAACAATCTTGCATGTTTTTCACATGTACCCCAAAACCTAAAATGCAATTTAAAAATGAAAAAAAAAGAAATATATATTTACATAAACATAGAGGTTAAAAAAAAAAAAGAAGGAAAGACTAAATGGCAGAGATGCTGCAGTGAGGAGTTACTGGGTGGCACAAATGGGGTGGGGGTTGGTCAGGGAGGTTAGGGGGAAGGAGACTGTGCAAGACCCAGGGCAGGACAATTAAGATTTGTCCTGACAACCTCCTTGATCAGCCATCTGGTTTGGATCCCGGTGGAGGAGGAGCTTCAGGGAACGGGCTGGGATCTGCCCACTCTTCCACAGATGCAATTTTGGATCACACCGGATTGGCAGAGATGGAGTTACAATACAGTGAGGTGGGAAGAGCCTCACTGGGGCACAGAAAGATCCCATGTAATTCAAGGCACAGTGTCAGCTGAAATTCACTGACCCCTAAGCCCACTTCTCTCCTACTTGCTAGGCAGAACAGTGGCCTGCTTCAGTCTGCAAAGCCCAGGGGCTCCTGCATCCCAACTTTCTGCGACACATGCAAACAGGAACAGGGTCAAGTCCGAGGTGGAACAAATGCGACCACACGTGGCACAGTCATCCCCCAAGAAAAATGGAGTGAGCATGTGTCCCCATGGCCCTAAGGGGCAATAGTGAGAAGGTCGATGATGTCTAGGCATGCACCAGGGGGGCACTGGAGACCTACCCAAGAAAGCCAACGAAAAGCAAAACACACTTGGGAACCAGGAGAGGGCATGTGCCAGAGTCCAAGCCACATTCAGGGATGCCCGCCAGAGGAGCAGAGACATTTGGGCAAAGTAACCCCCACCCCAGGCATGCAACAACTACGTAGCCTTGAGGCAACCTCCCCTGCACCCAGCCAAAACACGGTCTCTTTGGCTCCCTGACATCTTTGACAGCCAAAAGATTCAGTGGTGGGAGGCAGTCCCACCCAGGAGCAGAGGAAGCTGATGTCCCTCAAGAGTAAGACAGGAAGTCAAGATGAAAGGCAAACCCCCCTTTCCAAGAAGGCAAAGACTGGCCACAGTCATCTACCGCTCAACCTAAATGAAACATGCAGCCATCAAGTGGGACATGGAGACCAAAGGAGCTTCCATATCTGAGACAGGTATTGAAAACCAGAGCTCCAGGATCATCACGCCTACCCAATCTATAAAAATAGGTTTAGAGAGGAAAAGAGTCTTTACACAGATCTCAAAAATGTTTCAGCCTGATGAAATCAAAAGGGTTATTTGTTGAAGACATTGAGTGAGACCAAGGAGGATCCATGCCCCTCAGATACATGGCAGACAGAGCAAGAGGGAGGACCCAGCAGAGGCCAGAGCCCAGGCAGGATACAGCACAATGCCACCACCATGGGCATCTGAGAAGAAGGAGTGCCCAATGGGTGACTTGGCCAGAAAGGCCAGCGTTTGAGTAACAGAGATCCTTGCCACATCCCATTCCCGGCTTCCTCTCCAAGCCTGTGTCACGGTGCGGCAACATTTCTCAATGAGAAAAGAAGGTGGCAGGAGTAAGAACCATCTAGAACCATCTTCTTTGACTTCGGTCTGCATCTGTCCTGCAGGAGGACAATGAGCTCCTAGAGGCTTTTGTCCCTAGATATAATGTGCCGGTCTTGATCCTAAAAAAGAGACCGCTCACGATGGGGAGGAGATTTCAATCCCTGAGGGTCTGATGCAGCTCCCCACATGGCCCAAGTTTCACAAACCCAAACTTGAACAACCAGGAAAATGACTGACAACCGGTCAAATGACCCAGGAAGAGATGCAGAAAGAGGCCACCAAAGACAGGCCGACGTGCAAGCATCTGCCTCCACCACACAGGTCACATTCGTCCAAACACACACAGGCACATGGGCACAAACATGGACACACAAACAGGGAAAGACAGAGAGAGAAACAGCGAAACAGAGAGGAGAGAAAGAGAGACATACACACACAAACATACAGCAGTGGCACAGAAGCACCCACTCCCAGGCATCCCCTGAGGTTTCTGGGTTCCGGGTTGCACTTTCGGTGAGAAAGGCCCTCAGGTCAGACAGCAGCCCAGGGGCACAGGCAGGCCTCTCCTCAGGAATCACAGGGGTCACGAGTTTTGGGGAGCCTCACCTGCACACCATCGGGCAGGCCAAAGGCCGGAATCACCCGCTGGTTCCCCGAAACTCCACAGGTTTCTTCAGCTTGGTCGCCCTCTGCACCCTCTGCGCCCTCATTTTCTTGACACTCGGGGAACCTCCTGTTGACACCCTGGAGAGATCAGGCAGGAGCCTCGCTGTCGTGTCCTGCTTTACCAAATCCCAGAGACGGTGGGGGTCACTGTGACGCGCTAATCTGCTCGCCCCTCGCGCATGAGCATTGGCTAGGCCGACTCGCGCTTTACTTCTGAAGTCAGGCTGCGGCCCCTTTAATAAATGGCTGCGGTGCCGAGGCGACGGGGTATGTAAATGGCAAAGCTGCGGTTTAAGAGGATGGGGGAGGGCAGGGTGAGGCATGGGAGAAGGGGCTGTGCTAGACCTAGGCCCGGACCCCTAGGCTTCCTGTCCTCAGGACCTCCTTGAACCGTCCTCTGGTTTGGTTCCGGTGCAGGAGGAGCTTCAGAACACTGGTTGGGATCTCCAGACTCCTCTACGGGTCTTATTTAGTGTGTCCCACTGGGTCAGCAGCGATGGGGAGACAATCTGATGAGGTGGGGAGGGCCTCGCTGGGGAACAGAAAGATTCCACGGGCCTCAAGGCGAGGTGTCAGCTGAAAATTCACTGACCCATGAACTCACTTTCTCCCTCCTCATCCTCCCTGCCTCGGTCTGCAAAGCCCAGAGGCCCCTGCATCCCCACACAGCTTTCTGGGACAGGTGCAAACAGAAACAGGGGCGAGTTCGAGGTGGAGCAAATGTGACCACACATGGCACTGGCGTCCCCAAGAAAAGATGGACTCAGCTTGTGTTCCTGTGGCTGTATGGGCCGATGTGAGATTGTCAATGATGTCCAGGCATGCACCTGGGGGAGCACTGGAGACTTCTCCAAGAAAGCCAAGGGAAACAAAAGCATACCTAGGAACCAGGAGAGGGACCATGCTGCAGTCCAAGCCATATTCAGAGATGTCTGCCAAAGGAGCAGAGAAGTTTCTGCAAAGTACACCCCACCCCTACCACTCAACGGACTAAGTAGCCCTGAGGCAACCTCCCCTGTACCCAGCCAAAACCGAATCCCTTTGGCTTCCTGATGTCTTTAGCAGCCAAATGATTCAGGCCTGAGAGGCAGTCCCATCCAGTGGCAGAGGAAGCAGATGTCCCTCAAGAATGAGAAAGTGCAGATGAAATGCAACACCATCTTTCCTAGAAAGCAAAGGCCAGCCACAGTCACCTTCGGCTCATTCCAGATGAAACGCACAGCTCCCCACATTGCCCAGGCCTTCACAAACCCGAAATTCAACCGCGGGGAAAATGACTGACAACCAGTCAAATGACTCAGATGCCGAAAGAGGATTACCAAAGAGAGGCCGACAATGCAAGCATCTGCCCTCCAGCAAACAGGCCACATTCCTTCCAACACACATGCACATGGGCACACAAACACGGGCATGCTCACACACAGAGACAGAGGGAGAGGAGACAGAGTGACGTACACACAAATACATGCAGCAGTGACACAGAAGCACCCACCTCCAGGCAGCCCCTGAGGCTGCAGCGTTCTGCTCTCGGTGAGAATGATCCTCGGCTCAGAGAGCAGCCTACGGGCCCACAGGCAGGCCTATCCTGGAGATCACAGGGGTCATGACTTTTGGGGAGACTCACCTGCACAGGGTCCTGGCAGGCCTGAGGCTGTCATCCCCTGTTTGTTCTCCAGGACTCTGCCTGAGCTTTCTTTATCTTGGTCGGTCCTCCAGGAATCCCGGCATTTGGAGGCCATCCTGTCCACTTCCTCGAGAGATCAGACTGGAGCCACCATACGCAGTGCCACGGAGGGCTTCACCTCCCCCTCATCAGGGACCCATCACCCTGGCGACGTTGGTGGTCACTGTGACAAGAACCTTCTCATGCTTCCTGCATGCGTATTGGCTCAGCTGTGGTCACTGTGACGCGAAAACCTTTTCACCCTTCCTGCTTCCGCATTGGCTAGGCTGACTTCGCTGCTGCGTTCATGGAAGTCAGGCTGCGGCCGCTTTAAAAACAGAGGGCGGGGCCGGGCGCGGTGGCTCACGCCTGTAATCCCAGCACTTTCTGAGGCCGAGGAGGGTGGATCACGAGGTCAAGAGATCGAGACCATCCTGGTCGACAAGGTGAAACCCCGTCTCTACTAAAAATACAAAAAATTAGCTGGGCATGGTGGTTCGTGCCTGTAGTCCCAGCTACTCAGGAGGCTGAGACAGGAGAATTGCCTGAACCCAGGAGGCGGAGGTTGCGGTCAGCCGAGATTGCGCCATGGCACTCCAGCCTGGGTAACAAGAGCGAAACTCCGTCTGAAAAAAAAAAAATACAGACGGCGGGCCGGGCTCCATGGCTCACGTCTGTAATCCTAGCATTTTGGGAGGCTGATGTTGGCCCATCACCTTAGGTCAGGAGTTTGAGACCAGCCTGACCAATTTGATGAAATTCCGTCTCAACTAAAACTACAAAAATTAACCGGGTGTTCTGTAATCGCAGCTTCTTGGGAGGCTAAGACAGAAAAATTGCTTGAACCCAGGAGGCAGAGGCTGCGGTGATCGGAGATTGCGCCATTGCACTCCAGCCCAGGTAACAAGACAAAACACCATGTCAAAACAAACAAAAAAAAAATGACAGCGGTTCTGTAGCAGGGAGAGGCAGATGAGGGAGGGTAAGGTAGTCATGGGATAGGGCGCTGCGCGAGATCCACAGCTGGACACCTAGGCCTCTTGTTCTCGGTACCCTTTTGAGCCAGGTTCTGGTTAAGTTTTGATGTAGCAGGAGCTTCGCGGTGTCTGTTGGTTTCTCTTGGCATCCTCCTATGTGCTGGGGACAGCAATATGTCTCAATTCCTACTGTTGGCAAGGCCCTTATAGAAGAAAAGAATTACATCACCTAGGTGCTGCATTCAGTGTGATGCTACTATCTTTCTGAGAGCAGGGCCCATTCACAGGAGTCATATATACTAAATTCTTGGCCCAGGAATGTGTCACAATTTTATTTGTAAACTGAACCCAGTCTGGATAGCCAAATCACTCACATGTTGGACAAATGTATATTTTACAATAACACCCTTGGAAAGTTCCATTGATGATTCCCCATCCCATACATGTCTTGGTTCCAGGTATAAGTGTCACCATTGGCCAGCCACAGTGGCCTACACTTGTAATTCCAGCACTTTGGGAGGCCCAGGTGGGAGGGTCACATGAGGTCAGGAGTTCAAGACCAGCCTGGCCAACATTGCAAAACCCCATCTTTACTTAAATAAGTAAATAAGCCAACTGTGCTGTCCTGTGCCTGTAATACCATCTACTCAGTAGGCTGAGGGCTGAAAATCGCTTGAACCCTCAGAGGTGGAGGTTGAATTGACCCAAGATCATTCCACTGTGCTCCAGTCGGGGCAACAAAGTGAGACCCTGTCTCAAAATAATAACAATAATAATAAAGTCATCATTGTGCCTGTGAATTCATTCTAGGTCCCATGGCATAATACCAACTCTGGGCAGAGAGACAGCAAAAAAGGCACATCAACTGTGTACTGGTCCAGGGATATGTAACCATCCCCTTGGTGGGCAAACCCCTGGCAGAGAGTACTGGGTCCAGTGTTATCAAAATCTTTCCTATAGACAGAGTTTAGGTAAGAGAGGACACTCAATTCACCTAGATGATTAGCCTAAATATCTGTCACAATGACCTTCATGGGACATCAGTGAGAATGAACCTGAGTTCAGAGAGCATCCTATGGGCCCACAGACAGGCCTATCCTGGAGATCACAGGGGTTGTGACTTCTGGGGAGACTCACCTGCACACCATTGTGGCAGGTCTGAGGCCGTGATTCCCTGCTTGTTCTCCAGGACTCAGCCTGAGCTTTCTTTATCTTTGTTGGTTCTCTGGGAATCCGGGCATTTGGAGGCCATCCTGTCAATCTCCTTAAGAGATCAGACTGGAGCTGCCATACGCACTGCCACAGAGGGATTTACCTCACCTCAGGGACCCATTCCCCTGGCCAAGGCAGGAGACTGACATCACCTTGGTTCTTGGCTCAGTGATAGGTCACAATCACTTCAGTGGGCAGAGACCAGGTGAGAGAGCAGAATCACATCACCTACGTGTTGTGCTAAGTGATATGCTACAATGCTTCCAGTAGAAAGAACCCAGGCAGGAGTGTCCCATTACCTGGGTTCAGTACCTAACTATATGTCACAATGCACTCTAAGTACAGGACCAAGGCATTAGAAGGAAGTCACAACACCTCTGTGATGGACCCAGAGATAAGTCACAATGCCCAATGTAGGCAGAGTCCAGGCAGGGGAGTCACATAACCTGAGTCAGGGCCAGGGAAAATTTAGCATTACTTAGGTGATTGATTAATGCATATGTCACAACCTTATCTGTGGACTTGGTCTCAGAAAGAAAGTCAAACCTGAGTTTTGGGAAAAGGCATGTTGTTGAATCACACTCAGGAATGTACACAAATGAGTTTCACAGTGCCACAGCAGTCCCAGCTTCAGGTAAGAGAGGCAACCCCGCCTGTGAGTTGAGTTCAAGTACAGGAGTCACAATCTCAACAATGGGCAAGAACTGTGCTTAGGAGCCCCAATCCCACCTGCAGATTGTGTTCCACTGGGGGAGTCACAGCCTTACAGGTCTGCAGAGTCATGGTTCAGGAGTCACTGAGCCACCTGTGGACCAGATCCACATATAGGAGAAAAATTCCAACTTGCAACTGTTTTTGTGTGTGAGATTAAGTGCCTCGTAAGTAGGCTCTATTCATGTGCGAGTATTAAGATTATGTCAGCTGGGTCTACATATGAAAGTCACAATCTTACCTGTTAGCTGAGCCCAATTATAGAATTCTCTGTATTAGTCTAGGGCTTTATACAATAGGCCTGAGTTTTGTAATTCTCTATGGACTTTATACAAGTAGGAGATGCATGACTTTGTCTTTGGCCCCAAGCCTGGTTGTAAGAGTCAAAATATCTCCTACTGGCTGTGTCCACATACAGGAGTCATCATTGTGCCTGTGATCTGGGCCCAGGCATATGTCCTAATTTGACCTGTGGGCAGGGACAAGACAGGAGAGTCACATCACCTTGGTGCTAGGCCCAGTGATATGTCACAATGCCCACTGTAGGCAGGGCACAGGCAGGAGAGTCACATCATCTCTGTTCTTGGTTTAGTAGTATGTCACAATTCCTTCTGTGAGTAGGGCCCAGGCAGCCAGAAGAGTCACATTACCTCAATGCTGAGCCTAGTGATATGTCACAATGCTCCCTGTTAGCAGGGCCCAGACAAGAGAGAAGAGTCATGTCACACAGCAGATTGGCACAGAGATTTGTCACAATCTTCACTAACAAGGCATAGGTAAAAAAGGAGGGTCACATTGACTAGGTGATAGGCCCAGCTGTATGTCACAATCTTTCTTGTAAGCAGAGCCCAGACAAGTTAGAAGAGTTACATGAGTAACCTATGGTATGGACCTGGTGTTATGTCACAATTCCTACTGGGACCAGGGCCTGGAAAAACAGAAAAGTCACAGCACCTCTGTGATGTTCTTAGAGATATGTCACAGTGACCACTTTGGGCTGGCCCAGACAAGACATGAGAGTCACATCACCTAGGTAATAGACCCAGAGTTATGTCACAATTTTTCCTGAAGGCAGGACCAAGGCAGGAGTGTCCCATCACTGAGGCTCTTGGCCTAGAAATATGTCACAGTCCCTTCTAAATGCAGGTATAAGCAGCAAAGAAGAGTCATATAACCTAGATACTGGGCCTAGCAATATGTCACAATTCTCAGTGGAGGCCAGGATCAGGCAGGTAAGTAGAGTTACATCACTTAGGCAATAAGCCCAAATATATTTCAAATGCGTTCTATGGGGAAGGTCCAGGCTGGAGAGTTACATCACATAGGTATTTGATCAAGGTATGTCACATTTGATTGAGGTATGCCTGGAAGGCAGCTGCCCCCTCCTCCCCAAATTTAGAACCTCACCAGTGGGGTCTGTCCATGTGTGAGGGTGACAATTCTGTCAGCTGGTTGTGCATATGCAAATAACAACTTCAGTTTCTTATGAAATCAGGCTGTGTCATGACACTCCCTGTTTCCCCCTAGGGCATTATATAGTATGCATAAGTGTTGCAGTTTTATATGACCTCTGTGCAAGTGGAAAACCCAGAACCACACCCATTGCCCTAAGCCTAACAGTGAGAGCCAACATATTTTCTATTAGCTGGATTTGGTATAAGAGAACACTGAGCTTGTGAGTTGAGTCAAAACCTGACTTACCCTTGAAACTGTGGCCAAATCCACATCTGACAGTCGCAATTCAACCGTGGTGTGCATTCACATGTGAGATATATAACCTCATCAGTGGGCTGTGTCTATGTTTGAAGGTAAAGGTGACAATCCCAATTGTTGGCTGGATTTATCTGTGAGAGTCACAATGTCCACTGTAGGCAGAGTCCAGGCAAGAGAGTCACATTATTTGGGTGCAGGTTCCAGTGATATATCACACTTCCTACTGGAAGCAAGGCCCAGGCAGAAGGGAAGAGTCACATAATTTAGGTTGGGGTTAAGATATATCACAATTTTTTCTGTGGGCAGGACCCAGTGAGAAAAAGATGGTAATGTCACCCAGGTGATAGGCCCAGAGATATGTCAAAATTTTCTCTAAGAACAGGACCAAGGTAGAAAAGTCACATTGCCAACTTATATGGCACAAATGTATGTCACTGTCCCATTTTGAGCTTTAGGAAAAATAGTCAAATATCAGGAGCTGGGAAAAGTTCTTTCACAATCACACCTGCAGGAATGTCCAGAGATTAGATTTACAGTCTCACACTGGTCCCAACACCAGATAAGAGAGTGAAC